ATGAGACCCGCAGTGATCAAGACAGTGTGGGATGGGTGGAGGGATAGACATATGGAGTTACAGAACAGAATAAAGGACACAGAAATAGTCCTTACACTAATATAACCAACTGGGTATGTTTTTTTTTTTACAAGTTACAAAAGTAATTCAATGGAGGAAGCATAGCCTTTTCAGCAAATGGTGTTGGAGCAACTGGACACCCATAGGCAAAAAAATAAATAAATAAACAAACAAATCTTGACTTAAGTGAAATTTAGGTCAAGATTTTTTGTCTGTTTATATATATAAATATAAATATATACACACATTACATATATATTACATGTATATTACACACATATCACACATATATTATATACATATATATTACACATATACATATATTATATACATATAGTACATATTACGTACATATATAATACATTATATATACAAATATATATACGTATATATTATACATATACATTACATATATATTGTATGTGTATATTACAAATATATATACATTACATATATACATATATACAAGTATATGTATATAATACATATATTATATGAACCACGGACTTAATTGTAAAATGTAAAATTATAAAACTTTAAAATTAAACATAAGAGAAAAGTACTTTTAGATTTAAACATAAGAGAAAAATTGGGAGACCTAAGGCCAGGTGAAGAGTTCTTAGACTTGACACAAAAGCATAATCCATAAAAGGGAAAATTGCTAGGTAGGGCCTCCACAGGATTAAATGCTTTTGCTTTGAAAAAGACCCTGTTAAGAGGATGAAAAGACCCGTTACAGACTGGGAGAGAATATTTGCAAACCACCTATCCAGCAAAGGACTTGTATTTTGAATAAAGTGCTCTCAAAACTAGTCAGAAAAACAAATGATCCTATTAAAACATTGGCAAAAGACATGAAAGGCCATTTCATATACAAATGGGAAAAAAAAGCACATGACAAGATATCCAACATTATTAGCCATTAGGAAAATGCAAATCAAAATTACAACAAGATATCACAATCATACACTTATCAGAATGGCTAAAATAAAAATAGTAATAATGCCAATTGCTGGCAAGGATTCAGAGAAACTGAATCTGTTGTAAATATCACTGGTGGGAATGTAAATGACACAACCACACTGGAAAAATAGATCAGCTGCTTCTTATAAAACCAAACATACACTTAGAATCCAGCAATTGCACTTTGGGGCATTTATCCTAGAAAAATGAGAACTTAGGCTTATATAAAAACTTTTACGTAAATTATCATAGCGGCTTTATTTGTAATAGCCCCAAACTGGCAACAACCCAAATGTCGTTCAGTGGGTGCATGGTTAAACAAACTATGGTACGTTCATATCATGGAATAATACTCGTGACAAATACTCATTAATAAAAAGAACTATTGATAGATACAACAACTTGGAGGGAATCATGCTATGTGGAAAAAGCCAGTCTTTAAAAAGTTACATACTTTTTCCATTTAGATAACATTCTTTACATAACAAAATTATAGAAATGGGGGACTGATTGGTGGTTGTTGGGGGACCGTGATCACTGGTGGGGGAGTGAGGGGTGTGTATGGCTATAAAGGCAGCATGAAAGAGTTGTGTGGTGAAGGAACAGTTTGGTATTTTGATACTGGTGATGGTTGCACAAATATATGCATGTGGTAAAATTGTAGAGAACTGTATTCACACACACAAATGAGTGCCTATAAAACTAATGAAATCGAAATAAGCTCTGTAAACTGTAGCAATATCAATTTCTTGGTTGTGATAGGGTACTATGGCTACGCAAGATGTTCTCATTGGGAGAAACTGGGTGGGGGTCACAGAGACTTCCCTACACATTTTTTTTTGCCTGTTTCTGTGAATCTCTAATTATTTCATAATATAAGTTAGAAAAAAATAACTCTAGGGTAAAGCCGGACATCTAAAAGGTGCTGAGAAATAGTGACATGACAAAAAACAAAGTCAGAGCAAGGACCTGAAGTGACAGTGAGCACGTCAACAAGGCTGACCGTGAACAGATTCTAGGGTTAAGGTCTATTAGGAGAATGTTTAAAATTATCTTTCAGGCAAAAAGAAGAGACAGCCAGACCCACAGCTGGGAGCCAGGGCTTAATGTTAAATTACAACAAACAACAACTTCTCTATCTGTATTTTTGGGTGTTCTCTCTGTCAAGAAGAATGTTCTTCAGACCAAAATCGGTGGGAGGACGTATCAAGATGCGAGATGTGAAGCCTGAAATAGTTGAGGGCTCAGGGGGAGAGGTCCAGACAGATTACATCCCACAGACCTGGAAGAGCTTCCTGATGTGCTAACAGATCTCCTTCTTGAGAAACCAGACACATCAGGAGAGAGACAGGAAGGCTCAAGGCAGAAAAATGTTCATAATTTTCAAAAAGGTGGACGGGAGTGCATCCCAGGATATTGTCATCAGGGACAAATGGAGAGTCTCTTGTTCAAGCCCAAATGTTCCACTTGAGGGAGAAGATGGAGCTGATGCTGGTCCATGAGGAAAGAGCTAGAGTTTTGTTGGACCTTCAGGGCAGCAAGAGCAGTGGTATGTTGAGCCTCTTCAGAAAATGAAAGCATTCTTCAACAGACTTAAGACAAAGGAGGGAGGAAGGAAGGGGAGAGAAAGGAAGATGCTTGAAACCATTTAGTGCTGAAGCAAGTAGTTTTATTCATTTCAGTTAAGCCCTGAGGGGGTCACTATGTTACAGAGCCTCACAGTGATTACTGTTCGCAATGGCATTTTCTAGAAAGTTCCATATGTTCCAAGATCTTTGTATGAGAAGACAAGAACTTGTGAATGTCTTTAGAAAAATGCTCCTTCCAGAGCACCTGGGTGGCTCAGTTGGTTAAGCATCTGCCTTTGTCTCAGGTCATGCTCTCAGGGTCCTGGGAGGTAGCCCCATATCAGGCTCCCTGCTCAGCAGGGAGTCTGTTTCTCCCTCTTCCTCTGCTCTTCCCCCTGCCCAAGCTCTCCCCTTCTCTCTCTCAAATAAATAAATGGAATCTTTAAGAAGAAAGAAAGAAAGAAAGAAAAAGAAAGAAAGAAAGAAAGAAAGAAAGAAAGAAAGAAAGAAAGAAGGAAAGAC